CGAGCGTCGACACGACACAAGAAACGAAAACAAACGATTTGTCATTGTTATCGATTTAAAGGAGTCGTTTTCCGGACACAGAGCAGAACGGACGTGTTATTCGACGCTTCTCGCAAGAATATTATACTGCTTGGTATGTATTAATTATATAATTTATTATAAATAATAAATTAATTGTTAATAATTATAAATCGATTAATTATTGAAAATTGAGGTGCATTATGGAAGAACGAGTATCAATCGGATGCAACATATAAATATTACATTTTTTTTATTATTTATACAAATTTTTTTACAAATTTATACAAAATTTATATAAATATTGTACAACTTTTTTATTAATCTCTTCAATCATCAATATCAATACATCATCCTAATACATTTCATAATTTCACAACAATTTCATCTTTCACATCAAGAGGCCAAGGCCATTAACTTCAAGAATCAAATTCCCTTGAAAGAAACAAATTTCAAATTTCCTTAAACCTATCCGATCAAATACATTCCCCACCTTCACTCGACAATTTCTTCCAACACCAAGAAGAATCCAATTGTTTCGAAAAACTCAATCGCATTTCCTTATCCTTAAAAAAAAAAATCCTCAAACATTCCCTCCGCCATTAATTCCTCGCCCAATCTCGCAATCTCTTAATAACAACCTAATTGCGCAACAACTGAAATCTAGATGAAAATCTCAACTGCCTAGGCTGCATGCCTTTTCAATCTCGTTTCGAACACCAGTATAGCAATATTTAACCAAGATTATCAGACTTGGAGCGCGGACAGAGGCCCTGTTATTCCGTATTCACGTTAACTGGGGACGGAAATGGCCGGTCGTAAGGTCGATTACACCCCGACTCCAAAGGAGAAGACAAGGTTGATACGGGAACGATAGCAGTGTGGAAATCTAATTGAAGTGGGCGTAGACTGTAATAGCCCTGCTGTACGAGGGACAACCACGCGAATGCCTCGTTCAAGACGCATCGCCCGCCCCGCTAACATTCCTAAGAAGATTCGAGTCGTGGCCAATTCAACGCGACAACGTACATTTCCCATTCGCCAGCCCTGTTTCCCCATTCTTCTTCCCGTGGGAATATACGAGGGCGATAACTCCTTGCCTCATCCCGAATATAGACTCGGTGGTTCTGGCTATGAGCATTTTCAATTTATAATGCGAATTGGCATTGGTTGATGCGTTCAAGTTTTGGATAAAGTCTTGAGTTTTTAGGAATTGGTTTAATAGAAAATTGATTTCTTTTTCAGTTTTAATTTTTTTAAAAGATTGTACGAGTTTTATTAAAAGAGGTAAATGTTTAAAGGAATTTTTATCCTTAAAAAAAAAAAAAAAGGAATTTTTCGTCCGAGAGAAAATACATTTTACGAGGGAAATATTTTTATCGGTTAATGCTTCGTTCTAATTACCGTCAAGCATACATTCTTTTTCGCGTACTATCATATGTTAAGATCGAGTTATGTAAGCAGAATTCACTGCACCGCTGAAAAACGCCAGCAGAGATAGTACACGTTTCTACGAGTTGGCTCATCGTGATATGAAGTTTATGTTATAACAGGATAGAAGATATTTCTCTCCCTTTTTGTCGAGGAACAAAGAAAACCGCTTGTACATTACATCGAAGTAATTAATTTAAAAAACCTTAAATCCTCCTAAACTTTGATATCATCGTTTAATATGACTACAATTATACATTACCCGTATAAATCCCTTCAAAAACTGGCGCAACAGTTACAAACTCCCAATCAAATTCCCCCAAGTCAAAAACAATTGAAAGAATTATAGAAAATCTAAATATATCATAAGCTCATCACACAAACCTATGTGTAAACAAAGGGAGTAATATTCACGATCCAATATTACTTATTTCCTCCTCCTTCCCTATCGAAACATCCTAAACAATTTTCCACAATTTTCCAAAATACGCGACAAAAGAAATCTCCTTAACATCCCCCTCCCTCCCTTTACCTTACATCCAACGATATCCTCGAACAACATCTCCCATCGACAAACGGATTCCACGATTCCTCTAAGAAAATTCCACATTCTGTTTTGCGATATAGAAAGATATCTGTTTCCAAGCCAATACCACCAATCAACATAGAAACGGGTTCGTGTTGAAACACGTAACCTCGTTTCCACACTCGATGTACACACGATCCCCTCTCCTCACGTTCCATCGAATGGATTTAATAAAGGAGACGTGGCTGCAGACGAAATCGGCGCGGAGGACGGATAGCGGAAAAAGCGGAAGTCGTAAATTGTCCCGGAAAAGGATCGGTGCCGTAAAACCCGGCGGAGGAGGATTTTATCGATTCAATATCTCTCTTTTCCACGATTGGAACGATGGAAACGCCGGTTACAAAGAGGCAGAGGACACGATCCCGCAAAGGATATTCGGGTATGCGCCTTTACTGCTACCCCTTTCGAACCACCCCTCCTCCACCTCCCTCCTCGCGCGATATTTTCAACGGGGCGAGGCACGAAAGTTCCACGGAGGTCGTCTTCGGGGATCGAATAATATACGGGCGCGGCGTTAAGGAAATTTAGGAGCGCGAAACCACCGCCATCGCCACCTCTGGATATGAGAGTCTGGATTTATTCGGTTGAAATATCGTCGAGGCATCGAGCGGATTCCACGTGACTTGAAACCGTTTATTTTTCCGCGTTTTATTCGATTTTGTTTCGTTTCGATCGTGTGTGTATATTGGTTTTTTTTTTTTTTTTTGGTCGTTGATGAATCGTTTTTTACTTTTTCTTTTTTCATTTTTGGTTTTTGGATTTATCGAAATGGTGGATTCTCGTGAAACGTTCTCGTGGTTTGTGAATGATATCGGTATATAGAAGAAAATATTGCATTAGATCTGGTGGAAAGTTCGCTCGTTTTTCGCGTTTTTGAATTTATGATAGGATCGTTTCGAGGTATAATTTTGCTGTCTATTAATTAGAATAAATAATTGATTGAAATGATACGTTATTATTCGCTTAAGAAATTCACATAAAAATTTAAAAAAGAATCGATTGTTAGAAATCATTTTTTAATAAGATCTTAATAAGATCTAATACATTATAAATTCAATGATTCAATTTCGTTTGTTTATGCATTTTTATTAATTTTTAGTTTAATTTTCTACAAAATTGATTAACACAAAATAGAATACGTATTTTAAACCACGAGATGAGTTTTTAAAATTTTTAATTGCTTTTGCATATATATATATATATATACAGATTTCGATATATTACATTAGACAGAGGAAGATGGAAGGTGGATGGTGGAGAGAGGAAGGGGAATCGATAGTAACGGAAGGGTGGCTCGAAACATTCGACTATCGTTATAAATCAGGTTAACGTTGATTTATCTTGCAGAAAAGTTACAGGCCGAGCTTAAACTTAAGCAGAAAGGCGCAAGATCTATGTGCCCGTGTACAAAGGAGAGTGTGCTATTAATCCTTATCAATTGTGACTCACGCAGCAGGGGAAATGTATCATTTCGTATCAACGAAGATAAACTTATTCGTAAATGTAACACAATTTATTATTCCTTCGAGGACAGAAAAAGAGATATTGCGAATTTTATAATTAATAATTTTGCAATAATCACGAGAAAATTTATTAACCGCATTAATAATCTATGATTCTTTCCAAATTTTATTACTTTTATTACAAAGAAATCGTATAATTTAAAAAAAAAAACTCATGCCATCGAATCTCCGTTTCGCCAATTCCACGACAATTTCTAATGATACAACAGGAAAAAAGGAGATACAATTATACAAAAATTTATCCAAGATATTATCTAGGATGGTAGAGACCAGAAACCGTGTAATTGAGGTTAGGAAGCGAGAATAAGTGTCGCAGTAACGATTCCCAGTTACCAAGATTACGTCCGCCAGAGCGAGTTAATCAGCCAATGAGCGGGAAGAGATCCGGAGAGCTATTTAATAGAAAGGAATCCTCGGTTGTAAAAGATAAAGAGGCATGAAAGGACGGCAAGAGAAGGAGGAGGAGGAGGAGAAGAAACGAGAAGAAGATGCTCTCTCGAACGTTGGAACAACTAATGAACCGTATATTCCCATCCGGGTCTCGTGATTCCTATTGTGAAATAGCCTGGTGGACAGGTCGGCTAAAAGAGAGGAGGCAGGCAAAGGAGAATCTGATGAAAGAGGTTGCTCTGCTCTCTATCTCCTTGTCTTTCCCCATTCATCTGAGCGACGTTGGTCGCTGGGGGTGGCACGCGACTCCAATGAAAAAAAAAAAAAAAAAAGAAGGACCATTTTGGTGCACAATCCGGATTTTCATGCTCGAATAATTGTTAACTCAAAGGAAGTATAAAAGCTCCCTGCGAGGGGCTCTCCCTTTCTCGATCCAAATCTTATCCGGGATCGAGACGATTGGATGGGCGCGATCCAATAACGATACGAGACGTACGACAGAGTATCGTGGTTGAAGTTTTATGGAGGTATTTTGAAATGGAGGTTGATGGAGTTTAAACTTTCGATGATGGATATGTAATTGAGCGGATGTTGGAAGATTACGATGTGCAAAGTGTGTACACATATATATATATATATGTAGTTGTTGAAGTTTTATGGAGGTATTTTGAAGTGGAGGTTAATGAACTTTAAGCTTTTCATGATGGACGTAGTAATTGAGTAGGTTGTGGAAGATTAATATTAAGGTGAATGAGTAGATTGTACAACGGAATATATTATATCATAGTTGAAGTTTTATGGAGAATTTTGAATGGGAGATTAATGAAGTTTAAGCTTCTGATGATGGGATATGTGATTGGACGGATCAAGGAAGAATTAATGTTGGGATAAGTGATGTACGACATTATTAAAGACGATTTCGAGGAAGTCAACGAAGAGATTTTTTTTAATTGATTTTGTACACTTTCAATTTTTGTTTCTTTTATATTTTTTTAAAATTAATAGAGGTGTACAAAATTTTCAAACGAATATATATAATAAATTTAAATTAGAAAGAACAATTGTCCGATTTTAAATTCGCAACGAGTAGTTCGCAACTAATAATTCGTGGAATAATAAACATTATTTCGCTCGGTTCATCCTGATCATCGATTCAGGAAAAACAACATCCTCTTTCCCATCCTCCGGCGAGGAAAGAAATACGTGCCTAGGCAGTCAATTATTATCCACACGGGTAAACGTGGCCGTCAAAACGACAAATAAAAGAGGACTAAAATACAACTTAGCACAATGAAGCGTGGAAAAGGAGCTGACTCCGGGAGGAAGCGAGCGGGAAGGGAGGCTGAGGTCTTCCCTGCCAGATGTATTTCACACATTAACGACTTTGGTCACGGTGTCACTGCTCTGGATATCCAGTGACATCTGGTAGGCCGTCCCTATAATGGAACATTGCGAACCTCCTCGCCGTGGAACAAGCTTAAGGGTGGTGGTGGAGAGAAAATTGACGGTGTCGCCACCATACCGGATTAAGTGAAACCGAGAATCGCCGTGTAATTTTTTGGACTCTACAACCGGGGCTCTATTGTAGTCGTCGATCTGACTGCCACGAATCGGGCGGTGCTTGCGGTTGAAAGGTAGAAAAAACCCTCCGGGGCATTCATCAAAACGCAATTTTTACCCACCTTTGTCAACCGAACGTTCGACATTGAATATAGAGATCGATGAACAGTTGAAAGGTATTGGTAACGAATTTGAAAAATATCCCTTCTCTTTTAACCGTCCTGTTTCCAATTGTAGTTAATAGAACTGGCCAGGTGATATATGGTTGTATGTACACAATGTATATTGGATATTGTTATATTCTCGTTATATCACTATGTATCCAATTCTAAACTTTAAATCTCCATATTAGGGATATCTATATATCATTCAAATTAAAAATGATATGAAATTATTATACTGTTGTTGAATGTTATAAGTAATTATAATTATTCGACATTTAACACTCGTGATACTAGTGATGATTATAATTATCTGTGTGTCATTGTGACACGTGAACAAACATAAATAATTAGAAGTGATTTTGTGCTATGTTAAATATTCAGAGTTGTACGAGAGATGATTATATTGTCAAATATGACGCAGAAAAACATTTCAATTTATAATTTTCCATTGGTGTATGCAAAATTTGCTGTTGACTATAATCATCCAGCGCTGAGCACTCATTGTGTATGTACTACGGATGCCATCAGTCATCTTGCTCTAAGCACTCGTGTATGTACTACAGGTGACTGTAATCACCCAGCGTTAAGCACTCGTTGGATAACACGGGTAATTATAATTACTAATATTAAGTTTGTAAGTACTCTTTCTACATCATCAGATATTATAATTATTTGTACGAATTTATAATAACATTTTTAACATATGTATAGTGAGATTACAGATAACAAATTTTGGCGAGGAAAATTCCTTATTTTGTTACACATCGTTAATTCTTATCTCGATAATAATGTATCTTATCCATATGAAGATTTTTTATTCTTATGTGTAAGGAAAAGGAGAGTCTTCAAAAGAGGATTAAGAAAACATTTTCCTTTTTTTTTTTTGTGCAAGAAAATATTCTCGCATAATTTATTATGTATGAATAGAATTTAAACTTCAACTTGATATTCGTTAGAAGCTCGCTAAGATCCGAAGTCGTTCTTTCTCAAGAGGATTCTACTAGTTCACCATAGATTCTTATGGGAATTGCTGAAGTACGAATTCAATGGTGAAGTCTCTTACCTCGTTCGTTATGCTCTTAAGAGATCAACTTTCCAGGATTATATCGTTATTCCAAGTTAGTCTCAAGAAATAAAGACGACGATGAACGAACTAGGAATAAAAGTTAAATCGATAATGCACTAAATCTATCACCTATTTTCTAATAAAATAATTTTCAACGTTATTTAACTTGTTGAACAATTTAAATAATAATAATTATTGTGGATATAAATTAGTATCAATTACTCTGCAGAAGTAAAAAAAAAAAAAAAAAAACAAGAAGGAACCAAGATAACAAAAAATGCAAGTCATCGAAACCAAAACCCTGATACACTGATTATTCTCTTTTTCTAAATGGTCACCCTGTACAACCCAAGATCATTTATCACACCATGAAACATCTTGTTAGCTTGGTCACGAATAAAAGACGGAACAATATTTCACCAGATAAAAATCTATTGCTTCTATTATGTTATACTAATACTACAATAAAACGATCATTAATACTAAATATCTTATCCTTCCATTGTATAACTCAAATGTTTAATTTCTTGCTACATTTTATCAAATGAAAAAAACAAACAAATTTTCATTAATCTTATATATATATTCCATTTTATTAAAAGAAAGTTTCACTTTCAGCATATCTTCACATCCATCCTCGTTCGATCATGAAGTACCATTTTTGCAAAATCGTACTTTCATATCTACAAATAATTTCTACGAGTAATCGATAATAATTGCAATCCTCAACAAGCAATCTCCACGATCAAAATCGATTTCTCTCGCGAGTCTCAAGCGCCATTGCAAGCGCGAAAGAGAATTTAGAACGAATCAACAAAGCGATCGACAAAGCGAAACGGTGTAAAACAGTTTTGCAGAGCGTAATTCAAAGCGCCAACGGAGACGAGAACCTGTAATAACCAACGAAAGAAAACGTTATAAGGGTGCGACGTTATTTACAATCCTTTCTTTCCCGACTGCGGCGTACCGATACGAGACTCGCGCCATCTGTCGTGGCGTTTTTCATACGATTTTTCGTGGAGAAAGAGAGAGAGAGAGAGAGAGAGAGAAGAAAAGAAAAGAAAGAAGA